TTCTGGCGGTGCTTCCTCCCCTCCCGTCCCCTTCCACTTGTTTCCCGGTCGCTCACCTAAATAGTTGTACTTTGCGTTGAAGGCCAATGCTGGTATCTAAGTCATTTCATCTGTTGTTTTTCATCGGCCTCATAACTCTTTTCCTAGAAAGCATATTCCGTATTCGGAACGTCTAAATTTCTCAGTCTCTCTCAGAGTCATTCTTCCAAAATGTATCCAACCAGTGCAGTTTTTAAATCTTTATTGTTATTTTTTTTAACCAAACAGTCTTTAATCTTAAAGAAGAAATGTTTAAAAAAATTTAAAAATGCAAACTAAAAATACAAATTAAGAAGAGGGGGAAAAAGGAAAAAAACCCTATCTTACTGCCATTCCTTTTTGCACCACACAGCTTATTCATCGTTCTTGGTGCATCATAAAATCTAACGTTCGCTGCAAATCATTGAGTCAACAGTGAGCATGCCGTTATCGCCATACAACATGTGTCCCCAGCTGACACCTTTCTAATTTCGCCACAATGTGTGAGGCTTTGAATAATTAAGACTTAGTTGTGTCCTTCCAAGAACTAAGAAGGAGACACTCTAGGAGTCCAAGGCAGTGCGCCTTGTTAGTGCTGCCCCAACAATCCCATGAACTCTGTCTGTTTCACGTGCCCGACACAAGAAAGGCTGCTGGAGAGCCTTTGGGAAAAATCTACAAGTTTGTTAATTGAAGACATGTTATTTATTTATTTAGCATATTTATATAGCTGCCCATCTCGCAAAAACATGACTCTGGGTAGCGTACAAACATAATTGTTAAAAACAACAATCTGAAAACAGACATAAATAAAATGAACATAAAAACTCAGGAGCACTGGAGGACAACTGTCACTTGACCTCATACAGCCACCTTGCAGGCTCCCCATCAGAACCCCAAGGCTGATGAAAACACATGTTTTAAGAGCCTTCCGGAAGGCTCACCCCGCCTCAGGGGGAACGATGCTCCAGAGGATGGGGGCCACAGAAAAGGCGCGCTGCCTGCGCCCTGCCAGATGGAGCTCCTTTGGAGACGGGACTTGCACCACACCCCTCCTGCCTGACCTGGCGGGGTGGGTAGATGTGATCGGGAGGAGGCGGTCCCTCAAGTGACCTGGTCCCGTGCCATGTAGGGCTTTAAAGGTCAAAGCCAGCACCTTGAGTTGCACCCAGCAGTGGGCTGGCAACGATTGCAGCTTGCGGAACAGAGGTGTAATGTGTGCCCTCCATTCTGGAGGTGACCAGGGCGCACTCACTGTGAAGAGACCCTTGTAGTCCAGGAAGGGGCGCAACTAGCACACAACACAAAACTCTGCAAAGGCCCTCCTAGCCACAACTGCCACTTGCTCTTTGAGCAGGAGTCGCAAGTCCAGGAGGACTCCCAGATTGTGCACCGGGCCTGCCTGGGACAGTGCCATCCCATCCAGTACCAAAGATGATAAATTCCCAGAACCAGGAGGCCCAGAAACCCAGAGCCACTCAGCCTTGCCAGAGTTCAACTAAAGCCAGTTGTTCCCCATCTAAACCCCTACAGCGTCCAGGCACCAGGACAAGATGTCAGCCGCATTGCTTAGTTCACCAGGGACAGAGAGATGTAACTCAGTACGATCAGCATACTGACGATACCTCATCTCGTGACGACGGATGATCTCATCCAGTGGCTTCGTGTAGGTGTTCAATAGGAGTGAAGAGAGTGCCAAACCCCACATAACAAGGGTTGAGGACGGAACTTCTCATTCCCAATTAGTACCGACTGGTACCGGTCCCACGGAAAAGAAGTGAACCAGCACAGTACTGTGCCGCCCACTCCCAGCCCACTGAACCAATCCAGAAGGATACTGTGGTTGATGCTACTGAAGGCCGCTGAGAGGTCAAGAAGAGCAAGGACAGATGCGCTGCCCCTGTCCTGCTCCCGCCAGAGTTCATCTAAAATTGCGACTGATGCCTTCTCTGTCCCATGCCCAGCCCTGAATCCCAGCTGAAAAGGTCCAGATAATCCGCTTCATCCAGGGCCCGCTGAGGTTATTGCACAATCACCTTCTTCACAACCTTCCCTAAAAAAGGAGGTTCAATACTGAATGAAAATTGTCCTGTATGGTAGGATCCAGAGATGGCTTCTTGAGGAGGGATCAAACCAATGCTCCTTAAGATCTGTCATTGCTAGTTAAAGGGTCTGCTTGGTTATGCCTCCAGCATTTGGAATCCATCAAAATATTTAGAACTGTGGATCTTTCATCGATAGGGGATGGTTGAAATAATTATTATAAAACATCAGAATGACAAATTTACATCTGACTTGTAGCAGTGAATTCCTGATATCTGTGATCTCTCAGTATTTGAATTAGGTAGTTTTTTCCCCCCAACAAAGAGGCAAAGAAAACGGTAGCTGCCAGAATTTCAGTGGGGTGATATAATTTTTGAGCGAATTCCAAAGAAGTTACTCCAACAAACAACCAAAGCTAAAGTAAAGTCCCAGAGATAAATCTAAAACTCTGGAAAATTATATTATTATTGTTGATTGCACGGTCAGCCAGATGTTTAGACTGGATTTGGCATTTTTATCCACCTACTGAGTCCTAGGGGACTCCTCCTAGGGGACGCGGTGGCGCAGTGGTTTAATGACGCTGAAAGTTGCCGGCCAGAAATGGGCGACGCTTCAGCGGTTCGAGTCCCTCCTTTGCGTTAGCCCGGTGAGCTCCTGTTTCCTCCCCAGCTCCTGTAAACCCAACAGTTTGAAAACTCATGTGAGTAGATAAATGGGTACTCTCACTCCGGTGGGAGGAAAAATGCTGCCAGCACCTTGCAAAAAGGAGTCAGGAGCAGTTGCCGGTAAGCGTGAAAAACCGTGCGCACCGGAAAAGGGCGCGAAGTAACGGAAACCCCGCCTCCTGCGCGCGCCAGCTGGGCTCTGCTCTAGGAAGGAGGCAATGGCAAACCACTTCCGAAACACCTTGCCTTGAAAACTGCAAGGACTCA